GTATATATATAGTAGGTGACGTTTTGGGAAAGTCCCCTTCTTCATAACACGTGAATTCTTGAGGCCAGAGAGGTGGAGTTTATAAGGGTTGGAGAGTGCACTTGCCGCCTGATGAGAATTAACTTGAAACACGTATTTTGTGCTGGCCAGTTTTTAAATAAGCAGATGAATAGTTGCACCATCAGTACACTATACTCGACAACCACTTCAACAATCAAAAGGTATTCCAATGCAATATTAATGAATTTATATTAAAAGCTAACATGTTGTCCGCACATTGAGTATATATATTTTTGTTCTTTGAAGGCGACGGTGTTGCTGACGCACGTTTTGAGCTGTGTTGTTATCTGCGCTTGTGCACCACTGCCGACGCAGCAGCGGTGGCGAGATGTTAACAACCTCGCCTGGTTTACCGGAGGTCGTGGGTTCGATCCTGACCCAGATGCCTGCTGTATATTTGGAGTTTACGCGTATCGCTTCCTCGTGGTCGCATGGATTTTTCTCCGGGCCTTCCGTTGTTTCGCCTCCACATTTAGAATCGACATTAATTTACAGTATTTCGATACTGCACATTTCCACACGATCAGTAACTTCATCGGGCTGTCATTTGTGGCCAGGTCGCTTCTGAAAAAGAGCAATAATGTACAATTCAGCGGGCATTACCTGGTGAAATAAAAATAGTAGTTTCAAATAAGTTAAGTCAAGCAACAGCTAACGTATCTCGTGTATGCATGCAGCACGAAGTTAGACTAAACTAAAACGAAACTAAGTTAATGTCGACCTGTTCCCCCGCTCTAACGGGCATATGGAGCGACTCACATCTCCTGTTGGTAGCCTCCAACTCGCGGTGAAAATTCCACATTCTCATGGCGGGTGCCGGTACTTACATATGCTTACCCGTAAAGTGGTACTTTTTTATGGAAACCAGAAGGATTACGGGCTGCCTGCTGACTCGACTCTCCACCGGGGGTTGAACTTATAACTTTCTGCACATTTGCGAGCCAAGTCCTCTAACCGCGGCGGCACGCGGTTTACTAAAACAAACGGTGCTCGTGAAAGGCGTACGAAAGAGACTCTCCACGCGGGGAGACGGAACGATGGACATCAGCTCGTGTGCGAGTGCCGGGCGGTTCGTTAGCTACATCGCAGATTCGTGAGACGAGGGCAGCCTGCGGAGGCTTTCATGCACGTGGTGATGGTGGTGATGGTGGTGGTGACAATGACAGGGTTATTGGTGATTTTAATGACGGCGTTTTGATGACCAAATATATGAAGGCAGGGCTCACACTCGCTGTGTATGTATGTTGAACTTATTTCGCACCCTAAATATCCAACCGTGTTAGTTGGAGATGCGGGAGGGACATCAACCTAAACTCAAAAATAATTTCTAAAGAAATTAGTTATCAAATGAAAACGCGAATGTCGCGTGGTGTCTCGTTAATGTAGCGGGGAACCCACCACCCTCTTGCCTACAAGCGCCGTGTCCCATAGTGCATTGCGTGGGTTACATCGCGTACATATATAAATGTGTCGTAAAGCCACCTCCACCCGACACAGCCAATGAACAATGTTTATCACGTGAACACAAACGTGCCAATGGTTACTACTTCAGCACACCGCTTGTGTGTTGGAGAGCAAACCGACGTGAACGACGTTTCGCTGGTGATTGCAACCAGCTTCATCAGGCGACGTGCCGGACTTGTGTAGAAGTCGTCCTGCAGCTGTATCCCAGCTGCACGCTTGTTTGACTTCTATAGATTTAGATTCGAGCTTGCCTGTTTCTAAGCATTTGTTGCTAATACGTTGAGGATTATGCACGAAATTTTTCACCTGAGCTGTTATTCAATTGACGTTTCATATTTTCCCGTACACCTTTTTAGTCGTATTCTTGGTTCTTTCGGTAAAGTCACGTAAAAGGGAAATAATACAATATTTTTATTATTATTTTATTATTTCCCTTCTACTTGACTTTACCGAAGGGAAATAACAAAATAATATTTTATAAATTTTATTATTTCCCTTCTATGTGACTTTACCGAAAGAACCAAGAATATGAATCCCTGCAGTCACGAAAGCTTAAAATCAAAATTTTAAACCTTTTTAGTCGTTGATAAGGGATATTTGTAGTCAGGATATAATGCTATCGCATCTATTATGCAGTACATTTACAAAGCCAAGGAGAATACCTTCAACCCTTATTGTGTGGGGATAACGCACGTGCCTAGACCCCTTTTGGAGTGGAACATCGCTTGTGCAGCAGTTGAGGAATCTGTTTTAGAAGGAAGGAGGCGATGGCGCGGCTAATAATAGATATGTTGAGGAGGTGAAGCGGCGAGGCTAATGATGGATTTCTCCCAAATGTTGGCGAAGGTAACAACAATAAACACACAACACGTCCATGACTCCCGCGAGAGGCGCGTGATTATTATGTTTGCGTTGCAATTACGTGCCCAACCACTCGAATGACAGCTCATTAATATTCCTTAATCGACCACCGTTCGAGAGTATATAGGTGCAGTGCTATTACCAAATAGGCATTTAATGACTGAAATATCTTATCCGGAATAATCCCTCGAGATGGAACACGTGGTTTTCAAAGGCTGTTCAAGATATTCCATGCACAACGTTAAATGTATCAACACAATATTTTGGGGTCCATTGCCCTTGCTTCCATGGTCGAGTGTTTTAAACACTCATCCTCTGACGAGGTTTCGCCTTGACAATGAACACTTCACATGCCGTGCGTACGATTGCACCACACGCATAGATGTTACAACGTACGTAATGTACAATGCTTGCTCACATGTACAGACGATATATATATATATATTTGTGTATTATACACAATAGTAGTGATTTCACTGTGGGACGGTTTTAGCCAGTATCAATATAATAGCAGAAAAATTAACCCGTTTTTCACTATAAATCCTTTATATGCGTGGCGGCTAGAGTCCTCTCGTCCTCTGGCTTGAGATGGCTGCCACCTATGGGTCAGATGATTGCCTGCCACCATTAAGCAATTGGTAATTAAATATAATTTATTTTTTCCTAAAAAGTGTAAAATTTTGGATTTTTTTTCACGAAAATAAATTGTCACGCACAACGAGTGTGTGTGCAAAATGTCAGCTCGATTGGATCACGGGAAGTGGGTTAAAAAACGACCGAAAGATTTGCACGGTCGTAAGCGCACAAGCAAGCAAGTGAACTTAATATAAAGGATTTAAAAAGGGTCCCATTGATGTGCCGTGTCTGCTCTAACCCGAGTTTTGCATGCCTCGATATGTGCATAGTCGTGGAACCGCTGAGGCAGCTCATATTTCTCCGGCCTCAGCAGTTCGCCTGCTGCATTTTTTCACCTGAAGACGATTTAAAAAAAAAAATCTATCTACGTGAAACTTTACCGAAAGACCCAAAGAGTATGAATTCCTGCAGTCACGAAAGCTTCAAGTCAAGCCGTACCCTCGTTTCCCCCCCCACCCTCCTCAGCTATGTAAACCCTTGTCAAAGCCATCTCTTTGGCATACCTCAGCAACTGTTGTCGCTGTGGTGGTCCCCCACCTGATGAAGGACGCTTGTGTTGCGCCCGAAACGTCGTGATTTAATTAAGTTGTTTTCACTTGTTTTTATTTTATTCTATTATTATTTTCACCTACGTGACTTTACCGAAAGAACCAAAGAGTATGGATCCTTGCAGTCACGAAAACTTAACATCTAGAATGTGCCTAGTCCTTGTGCTGTCCGCTTTTATGGCGTTGTTCTCTGGACTAACACTGCTGAGACAAGGCCATGAAAGAAGCCCTTTGGTGTCGGCCCATGAGTTCCGAGGACAATGCGTACATGAGTATACGAGCGCGTTTGTTCGCATGTTTTGCCGCACGTATTGCGTGTGGCTAATGCGGACTTGCTGATGCCCTCCAATGGGTGTGTCCTGGGCCTGGATTAAGGCACGGGGACCTCCGACAGCTGGAGGGCCTTCCAGAGATGAAGTGAAAAGTTATTTCATTCGTGAAGCGCTGAATTTGGATTTCTTGTTAGCCTTGTAGAAATACATTTTATTTTTTTCTTTAACTTTGTTTTCCTTTTGAAAACATTACTGGTGGCCTCACAGTACATGTAGCCCAGCGGCCTACACAATCTGAACCCGGCTCTGTGTGTGTGTCTATTTGGAGTGATTTCGCTGCTGCGCAAATGGGGATGCCTAGACCACACGTCACCACGCTGGTGAGTGCGTGTTGGTGAGGGTGGAGGATGACCTTGGATCGGTTCAGATACCACGCGACGCTGATGTCAGTGCCGTGGGTTGGGAACCCAACTTGAATCACCGGTCTTGCAACTCACCGCGGCTTTCCTGGATAAAAATACAGGATTAGTTCTAAGTGGGTTCGACATACGATGAGAATCCTACGATTTTTAGAGTCAGTCGAGGGCCAACTCAGCCCATCAGTCTTCTACGGGCGACACAATAATAACCACCTCATGAGAAATCAACACCATTGACCGACTCGCCCTCGGTATAGGAACGTGGAATTGCCGCCACTGTCTCAGTACCCTTCGGCTGAAATGAGTACCTTGTGGTTGCGATCATCGCTATGAATGGTTGTGTTTGGAAACGACTCCGATTGTGAGAGAGCACGATGATCCTTTACATCTTCCTGTGCTTCCGTGATTTGTGTTACAATTCTGACTCCAACGTCTCCCCGTCTCTCCTCGTCTCCCGTCGACTCTCTGTCTCCCTGGTCTCCATCCTCCATCCTTCTCACCTGCCTTCATGTGCCCCCTGTTTGTCTCTCATTGCTGCATCTCCCTGTGTCTCCCTTCACGTTCCATCCTCCACGCTTCCGTGTCTCCCTCTGATGTTTCTCTTTCCCCGTCTCTCCGCGTCTCCATCCTCGCCAATCCGCCGTCTCGTATCTGTTGCTCCATCATCATCATCATCATCGTCGTCTCTCTGTCTCCCTCCTCGTTCCCTGCGCTCGGCACCCACCACCCTCCCCGACCAGACGGCAGCTCTCCGCTGAGTGCGCTCCGCTACTGCATGCCGGCTCTCAAGATGGAACACTACCTGAGCCTCAAGCAGGCGGCCGTGTCATCCCTACGGGACCACGACTCGTCCGAACCTCCTCCTCCTCATCACCATCACCACCACCATCACCACCACCAACACCACAACCACCAGAGCCAGCACCATCACCACCAGCAGCAGCAGCAGCAACAACAGCAGCAGCAGCACGGCAGCAGCAAGGGCGAGGGTAGTCCCGATTCGGTGGACATCAAGGCCGGAGCTGGTGGAGAGATCGGCGGTGGAGGAGCAGGGGGAGGAGGAGGAGCAGCGGGAGGAGGGGGAGGGAAGGGCAAGAAGAGACGGAACCGCACCACGTTCACGAGCTTCCAGCTGGAGGAGCTGGAGAAGATCTTTCAGAAGACGCACTACCCCGACGTGTACGCGCGCGAGCAGCTCGCCCTGCGCACGGAGCTCACCGAGGCGCGAGTGCAGGCGAGTGCGTGACTGTGCACGTGCGTGTGCGTGACTGTGTGTGTGTGACTGTGTGTGTGTGACTGTGTGTGTGACTGTGTGTGTGTGACTGTGTGTGTGTGTGTGTGCGTGACTGTGTGTGTGTGTGTCTGTGTGTGCGTGACTGTGTGTGTGTGACTGTGTGTGTGACTGTGTGACTGTGTGTGTGTGTGAGTGTGTGTGTGACTGTGTGTGAGACTGTGTGTATGACTGTGTGTGTGACTGTGTGTGTGTCTGTGTGTGCGTGACTGTGTGTGCGTGACTGTGGGTGTGTGTGTGTGACTGTGTGTGTGTGACTGTGTGTGTGTGACTGTGTGTGTGTGACTGTGTGACTGTGTGTGTGTGACTGTGTGTGTGACTGTGTGCGTGACTGTGTGTGCGTGACTGTGGGTGTGTGTGTGTGACTGTGAGTGGCTGTGCGAGTCACTGTGCGTGTGTATTTGTGCGTGGGGAGCGGTGGCGCAGTGGTTAGCACGCCGCGCTTCGAACCCGGCGATCAGAGTTCGATTCCCGCTCACGGCCAGCACCAGTGACGATTATCTCAACTGGTCATGGGCCCTCCCCTAGGTCGACTCAGCCTCAAATGAGTACCCAGTGAGGTGTGTGTAAAAATCGTCATCACTGGGGGAGACAAAAGGCGGTCGGGCGTGGTGCTGGCTACCCACTCCCCCTCGCGTATCGTTCCGGCATCTCCGTAGCCCCCCCTCGTTGCGTCTTCTTCGTCTCTTCTCACGACCAAACGACCGAGCGCTCACCTCCCATTGTCTGATCGCCGACGTGAGTCACTCCGACCGACTCAGCATCTCGCCACCGTTTTCCCCTTCGAGGTGTTCCATGCCGTCCACCATCGCGTTCTCATCATCTCTACCCTTCGAATCGCCCACCCTTCGAAACGGTCGCGCATCTTCATTGTGCATGCGTCACCACCAAAGTCACCGGTAACGTAACGAAGGTAACAGGCACCGCTCGACTGATGGGACTTAGAAAGTCGATAACCGGTCCAGAATTTACCCGGGCAGTATTGGTCCGGAATTCCGACAGGGTTACGGAGTAAAACACATACTCTGAATGAATAGTAAAGGACGATAGTTTAGCCTGTTTATTAGGGACCGTCCATAAATGACGTCACGCACCTAGTGGAGGGTGGGGGGTCAGACATTTGTGACAATGTGTGACGAGGGGGGGGGGGGGGTGAGAAATGTGACGTCACATCAAAGTGCACAACTTTAAATCAATATAGACAATACGTTCTACTTAATTAAATAGACTTTTTAATAAATGTTTTCTCTTACAACATCAGAGTGCAGCGGCACATTAAATACGCACTACAATGACAATAGTTTAAAGCGATTTGAAGCATGTTTTATTTTGGGGGGGGGCAGAGCATTGTGACGTCATATTTGAGGGGGACGCTGACTTTTTGTGACGCCGTGGGGCGAGGGGGGGTCAAAAATTGTCCAAATTCACGTGACGTCATTTATGGACGGCCCCTTAATCATTGCTTCCTTTATCTAATATGTATATATATGCATATTCATACAATGTACACGCGTACAGAAATCGCACTACCATTTATAGCTGAGCTATATTACAGGCATGCATTTAAGTCTGATTGATTAGCTTGAGGACTACTGTGTTAACGAGTGGGTTATATTTAATGTGCAAACAGTGTCACGCAGCCTGCGTGTGTGCCCATGAACATCGGTGCGCGTCCGATACTGAAGCCCGTTTGACTGCACGCCCATTCTCAAAGCGGTTCATCAGCCGTCCCGCCTCTGAAACACTGTTAGAAATACATTTGAACGCCATTCATTCCGCTCACGTGTCATCAGCAGCAGATTCGCGTATTTTTGCTGTTGCTGTTAAAACAATCACTACGGTTTTTGTTTTAAACAAAGTATGACAAGATTTGGATGGAACCCGCCCATGCACCGTGTAATCATAGCCTGAATAATAGGTGCTCGCAAACACACATTCCCACTGACGAATGAACGGCCCGTGATTTGAAGCAGCAGTATTGAAGAGCGGGGTGCATTCCGTTCAAAGTGAATTGGAAAGTTGAGCGAGTACTCGCAGGAATCTTACTCTACATGCAAACAGAATACGCAGATCTCTGTGGTTAATTCGCGTCTCATGAGTGCCTATTTACGACGCAGCGAACATGTTTGCAATATAAATATGGAATAGGATAAATGGGGGAAATAAATAGGAAATATTGACATTAGGACTTTAATGAGCGTATCGGAGACATACCTATATAGCAAAAGGAAAAATGTGGAATATCAGAAATAGGGAATAGACATGGGGAATATGAGAAACGGGGAATAGAAATTTGGGATTTGATCATTAGGCTGCAGGTGGTGCTGCTGCTGGCTTCGACGGACAATGAGTTCGCGACTTTACGTCTCGACCCACCGCGACTGCTCGTGAACAACAATGAGCTTATTTGAATTACAAGGAGACTCGGCTAATAATAAGAAGAAGAGAGATGGGTCACGGCTCGCACTGCCGAATGGAAACGCCGTTGTTGGTAACGGTGTTAGAAACTGTGACAGTAACTCGTGCCCGCGTTTGTTTAAATCGGTCGAGAGAAACGTGCGCTGAGTAAACATGCAACGTCAGGTCTCAACGATTTCTCCATTGGGCAGTCCGAGAAATTACTCATCCTGCCTGCTGCAGTCAAATTGACTCAACGTTGCATGCTCACTGGGTGCGTCCTTCTCTAAACGCTTCAGCATATTCGTAAACAAACAAGAAAACAATTATGTCCGTTGTATCTTGAGCAATACATAGCATTTAGGACGTCACAATTCAAATCTGTAAATTATGGGAGATGATCCATCACGTTCGTAACATTAGTTGGAGGTCACACTTTGCCAGCTCGTTATTTGAGTTGGTCATCTAAATTCGAAAGTGACAAATGTCCGCATATGCAGTTCTGTTGAGTTGGTGGTTTGCACAAGGCTGGGAGCTTTTGCACACGCAATGCACATCCTTGTGTGCTGGTAAATCTACTCAGGACGCAGTTATATTTATTGTTTGTGTTTTTTTTTTCATAACATTCTAGTAAGGGTTAAGGCTAATTTAATTTTACGTTTTAAAATCACACACATATCAGCGAAATATGTTATTTTGTTGAGGTAGTTTAAAACCGTGTTTATATATATACACTATTAGAGTAGCGGACGGTAACATAAACGTTGCTCCGAGTACGTAAATATTATTGAAAATAATACATGGCAATGGGAATAAATAAGAGTTTTCACTGTAAATCCAATGAACTGACTGTCAGCTTTTCTTGGTTCTTTCGGTAAAGCCACGTAGAAGGGAAATAATAAAATAATAAAAATTAACATAATTAAATAAAATTCTCACGACGTTTCGGCCACAACACAAGCAGCCGTCCTCAGGTGAAGAAACAGAGCTGTCGGAAAGACATTGGAGCGCTGTCTTTCCGACAACTCTGTTTCTTCACCGGAGGACGGCTGCTTGTGTTGTGGCCGAAACGTCGTGAGAATTTTATTTTATTATGTTTTATTTTTATTATTGTATTATTTCCCTTCTACGTGACTTTACCTTTAAGAACTAAGAATACGAATCCCTGCAGTCACGAAAGCTTTAAATCAAAATGTGACTGTAGGCTCTCCACTCGCGACACATTTGAGTTAGCGCTGTCACACTGGCAGGGTCTCATCTTTGAGCACTTACCCGTCAACTATACAATTACACTTTTTCATTCATGCTGAATGAACAATTATTGAAATACGGTGATAAAAAAACCTATATTACAGTATATTGAATACGGTATATGTTTTAAATATTGTACAGCGTTTTAGAATAATATCTGCCATTGACAATTGACACAGAATAGCTTACAAAGCGTGTAATCCTTGTTGTCATCAACACCCATGACGTTTTCCAATTCTGGATGAATGCCTCCTCATGTCATCGCCAATGCTCACGGCCCTGCGATGCCACAATGCTTCTCGTTCCTTCCGTGGAGATTGCTTCCGAGTCATTCTCTTTGTCTGCTCATTCTGTCACCAGTCTCACACCTCTTGCCAAAGTCGATTCACCTTCCGTAACAGTCAACAACTCTCCATCGACATGAGCTCGAGCCTCCCGCGCACCACGTGACTTCTGTGTGATCATCCCCCTCTTCTAGATTTGAAGCTTTCGTGACTGCAATGATTCATATTCTTAGGTTTTTTTCGGTAAAGTCACGTAGGTAAAAAATGTAAATTAATAAAAGTAAAATAAAACTAAATAAAAAATCACGACGTTTCGGAAGCAACACAAGCCTCCGTCTTCAGGTGGAACCGTCACAGCCACGACAGCTGTATCGACAGCTGTATTTTTTTATTTTACTTTTATTAATTTACATTTCTTACCTACGTGACTTTACCGAAAAAACCTAAGAATATCATCCCCCTCGCTCCGAATTCCTATTTACCTCCCCGCCCGATGTGGGGACAGGCACGTTGCTCCACTGTGCAGCAGCAACAGCAGCAGCGGCAGCGGCTATGCCCTGGTGTAGCAATCTCCTCCCTGACCTCTCTTTACTGGACATTTCCTCACGTGTCTCCATTCCTTGTCCATCCTTGTTCCCCTATTCCCCGTTCTTTATCTTCTCTCTTCCGTTTTGACTTGAAACTTTCGCGACTGCAGGGATTCAGATTCTGGGTTCTTTCGGTAAAGTCACGTAAGTAGAAAATAGAAAATAAAAAAAATAGAAATAATTAATAGAAAATATGCTAATAAAAGCAAAAACCCCCACGGTCTTCATCAGGCGCCTACTGAAGACCGATTGTGTTGCAATCGAAACATCGTGGGGTTTTTGCTTTTATTATTATTTTCGAATTATTATTTTTTATTTATAAATTTATTTTATTATTTCTAGTTTTTCGGCGTGACTTTACCGAAAGAACCAAGAATAGGTACTTCTCTCTTCCCTTTCCATTTTTTACCCCGGTGCATCACCTTCTTGACTCTCCTCCCGCTCCCCACGGTGCCGTCACGGCTACTACAACAGGTGCCAGTGATGTCCCTAATTTGTCTGATTGTTTCCGGATACTCGCCTTCATCTTCCGCCGCTCGGTGTCATTGCCAGCGTGCATCTCTCCATCCTCCTCTGCGCATGTTTCATTTTTTGTTCTACTGTCCTTCATGTCAATGCGCTCTGCTTGTCATCGGCTTTCTTCTTTCGGCGCAGTGTTGCTTTTCACGTGCAAATGCAGTTTTCCTAAAAGCACTCCATGCTGCCCCTGAGCGCACGAGTTCACCGGCTGGTGGTGGATACGTACGGTGCCTATAATCCAGCACGGTGGAGGCAGCCGAGAGTTGCTAGATCATCGCACAGATGTCGTGAATCTCTCTTCCCCGTGGGCGTCGAGGTATCATAGCCTGGGCTTGCCTAGGAGAAGGTCTTGCAGCCAATGGCGACTCCATCTGTTCCACCTGTATGGGAAGGAGTGTAGCCCCCTTGCATAGAGGATCGCAGAGCTTGGACAATTGCTGGTGCCGGCTCGCCGCCTGGCCGCCGCATTCCTGCTCGTGTGTGGTCCCTCCTCGCTCCACTCCGTCATTTTCTCTCTCTCTTCTCTCTCTTCAAGAGTGAATGAAGTCTGTGCCACAACGTACCCACTTTAACACGGTTGGCTACGTACGGTGCAAAAGAAGTGCATCGTACGTACATACACATTTAAATAATACAGATGATAATCTGTCGTGGTTTCCAGTGGCGTCCCTCTGACTGTTTTCATTGTTTGGCATTGTGTATTATGCATGTACTGCGTGTAAATACATGCAATCTATTTCCTGCAAAATGTTTAAGCAATATCGTCTGGCTAAATAAAGTCAATCAAGCCATTATTAAAATTAAAATGTAACATCTTTTGTTGAAATTGTTTGAATGTAGAATGCATATGCATAGTTATGATTCGTTTATAGATTATTTTATATGATCATAACTATGTTTATGCAAAGTTGGCATATATTAACAAGTTCAACATAACATACATCAAATATCACCACCGTGTAGCCTGAACAGACCGTCGGAGCAAGTGCTGTTAGCGAGCACCAATTGGTGGGTGGCCTGCACCACGCCCGGCCACCTTTGTTTCCCCGTTGGCGATGCTTGCAAATTGCACCAGCCACTCATTTGAGTAACTAAGGTACATGTGTTGTGTTACTCCTAGCTGTAGACAAGCATTACTAATGCAGCACGACTGTGTGCTTCACTTTGTGTTGCACAACGCATTTATATTTCACCCTTCTCATATTTTTGTCAACGTCGCAATTTATTAAATGTAGTGCACATTACTTAACATCAACTGAAGGTACTCAATTGAAACGAGTCACATCTAAGCTTTGTTGTGTGTGTGTATGATTAGCAATTGCAGAATGGGTCACGAAACTACCATACACCCCTGCCAATCCACAAGTGTTATCCAAACCGGTAGCGGGTCTCTCCCTCTCCTATATCGACTCTGCCAGCCGTTAATGAACAGCTGGTGCAGTGTGTAAACACCAGAGACAAAATGTGGATGGGCTTGGGTGCCGGCCACACCATCCCCTCGTGTGTTCCATGCCGATCTTTATGAGCTCCTCCTCGCCTAACAGCACTCACCCCCCCCCCCCAACACCAGTCTGATCTGGCTAAATAGGAGCCCTTCGTGCCTAAGTACCCTTGCGAGATTATAGATAGCGCTGTGTGTACATGCTGGCTCGCACTGCTGTTGATATTCATATTCATTAAGGACGGGACGCAGGCTTCTTTAACGGCAGTCGCCGTCCGGCGGGTATCCATTTCAGCACCAGTTGAACGACAAATCCCCGCAGTGTGTGGCCTCGACGTGGCCTGCACCCGGCGCAGGGAGTACACCTTGTCCCCGCGTAGGTCTGTAGGTCTCAGTCTCTCGAGTGCGATGTCAAGAAGTTCATGAGCGCGTGGCGTTTCGATCATTAATTGCCCGGGGAATATGAGGCAGCGAGCGGGAGGCTCCTTTGAATGATGCAAAATGATTGGTGGAAATTTTGCCCCAAGGAAGCCGAGCAATGAGACCGCGCGGTTGTGCCCCATATCGATGTTATCTTCTATCTTATATCGATTTTATATCGCGCCTTAGCCCAAGGCGCTTTGCACTCAACATAAAATAGTGCGTTAGATGACGGTGGTTGAAGTCCAGAGTGGGGTTATTAAAAGTGCCGGTGTAGTTAGGGTGGCAGCTCTCTGGCGAATCGCCTGACGAGGCAGGTTGTCATCGCCAGAGAAACGTCACTGTACACAAATTGATCATGTCGTGGGTTTTCTCTCCAACACACCGGCGTGCTCAAGTGGTTACTAATTGGCATGTTTCATTTCCATGAACAATCTTACTAATTGGCTGTGTCGGCCGGTGGTGGGTTAACGACACATTTATATTTACCAGATCTAACTCCCCCCCCCCCCCCAAATAAAAAAAACACGTTAGTGTGGATAATATTGGTCGCGAAATGCTGCGTGTTAAACTCATGGTGACGGTCTGCATGGGTGAGAGTCAGACAGTCATATCCCATTTAGTACTTTACGGAACAGTACAACTTCGCACACGCAGCTGGCTTGGTGAGCGAGGCGTAGGCGGGTTTGTGAAAAGGTCGGATATGCGAACGTCTACAGACGTTGGCAGTGGTGCACCGTTCACAAATGCAGTTCTGGGTGTGGGCGGCAATTTCGTCTGGGTGGATACACGCAACGGTCTGACATGCTACGTTGTACCGTCCACATTTATCTATTTATGCAACGCAACATTCGCCTGAATAGTCAGGGTGGAGGAGTTGAGGTCACTCACTCGCTACTCTACTATCACTCAGTCACGCACTCAGTCACTTACCTGCTCACCCGCTCGCTCTTCGTACAAACACAAGTGAATGGGAGAGGAACTCAGTCGGCTGTTGGTACAAGTGCTGTTGGTGAGATGGCTATTCAGGTCGGCTCGGTACGAATGTCGTTTTGCAATCGGTTCATTGAAGTACAAGTGTAAGGACTCATCGGATAAGCGATTAAGTGAGCCACTCACACATGCGCATACATTGCGAGGAAGACCGCTTAGGAATATTATACCTGGCCTCGTGACTTCACCACTTACTTTCATGCAAAACCGATTTGGAAAAAAAAAATCTCTCTCACCCGATGTGGCATCGGGTTGCACCCCGTGTTGTCCAGCACTATGTCCGACGTTTCGCTCCACGTGCTGGGTGCTTCTTCAGGAACTGAATGCACAACCCAGAACAACCACGCAATCCTACCTCGTGATGCGTAGACTTACTCCACTCTGTAGGCAGACACTGATGGCAAGTGTGTGATACGCGCAGTGCTTCATTTCAGTCGGAGCAGACCTCCGGAAAGCTGCTCTGCGAATGATCTCGGCACCCAGCCACATCCATAGTACTCGCAGTACCACGGTGGGGTGTGTGGCTTGTGCGGGTGCTTGTGTGTACGGTGGGGGAACGGTAGTGTAGTGGTTAGCGCGCTGTGCTACGAACCTGGCGACCCAGGTTTGATTCCCACTCACGGCCAACACCAGTGACCATTGTTTGAACTGGTCCTGGGCCTCCTCTAGGTCGACTCAGCCTCAAATAAGTACCTAGTGTGGTGTGTGAACATTACCACTAGGGAGACAAAGGCGGCCGGGTATGGTGCTGGCCACCTACCCCCTCGTATTCTATGCCGGCCTTCAAAGCAGCACTTGCCCCACAAGTCGGTGGTGTGAGTAGTGGTGCGCACAGTGATGGCACACAAACACACGTGTGTGTGTGAATATTACTGACGGTTAAACGATGCCCTGAAGGACGGTACTGGGATAATACAAATAGGAACAACAGTTCCACACTGCCCACCAGGGATTATTTGTCTGTCGTGCATAAGCCCCGCCCAAACATGTAGTACGCTCCCAGATTGGTTGAAGTGCGTCACGTGACCGCGAGCTTTCTGTCGTGCACGAATGCTCTGTCCAACCAAGTTCCTACCTGCCCACTCCGAAGGAACGTGTTTATCGATAGGTGCACTTTGTACTCAATTGTTGGAGCCTTATGCCAATCATTCTAAATGAAAGTCTTCCAAGCAAGGTTGCAAGAAAATATCTCGAGAGAGAGAGAGACGCATACCTGGGTGCATGGAATACGAATGTGAATTTGAAGCAAATTGTTGCATCATCATCAATAGCAGCCATGTTCAATCTGGATGAATGCTCAGTTGTTTTTCTTACCCGTGTGTTGGTGGACACAGGTGTGGTTCCAGAACAGGCGAGCCAAGTGGCGCAAGCGGGAGAGGTTCGGGCAGATGCAGCAGGTGAGGAGCCACCTGGCGGCCGCCTGCGCCTTGCCACTGCTTCCCCAGCCCGATACCTACCCACAGGTGTGTACACGACAGCTACAGGTGTGTGTACTCAGCAACTACACCTGTGTATGTACACCCACAGGTGTGTGTGCACCCACAGTGTGTACACACAACATGCACAGGTGTGTGTGCACCCACAGGTGTGTGCACCCACAGGTGTGTGAACACAGCACGCACAGGTGTGTGTACTCAGCAACTACACCTGTGTATGTACACCCACAGGTGTGTGCACCCACAGTGTGTACACAAAGCACGTCAAGGTGTGTGTGTACACCCACAGTGTGTACACACGCACAAGGTGTGTCTGCACCCACAGGTGTGTGAACACAGCACGCACAGGTGTGTGTACACCAACAAGTGTGCACCCAGTACCCAGCAGCCACAGGTGCGTGCACCCAGCCGTATGCGTGTAAGCTTCTTATATACACACATGCAGACAATTATGTGCACTATCTCAACATTATCGTCAACTTTGGTCCACACACTGCTGGATAGTGGCCTGCTGACACCGCTGTATTATTTCACCGTTTTGCCATCCCACAATTCTCCTCGCTCCCTGCACGTGAGCGGAGATCATCGCTCCGTCTCCGCAGCGGTCGCCCTGTCGGGATTGTCGTCTCCTACGGGTTACCGCGCCGTTAACAATCCGCCCGTCACCAGTCTCGTCCATGGACAAACGTCCCTTTCTTGCGATCTGTTCTGCCCCAGGCCCACTTCCTTTCCTTTGACGTCGTTGTGATGTCTCTGTGTTTCTTCTCAGATCCACTTGCTTGCTTCTCTTTCTCTCCGTGTAAGTCTGCATTGAGAGAGGTGCACAAGCACAATAAACGAAAATGAAACACGAAGCATCTGTTATTTTACGTGCTGTGAAGAAGGGCCGTTACCCAAAACGTCGGGTGTTCTAAATGTTCCCGCTAAGGCCACGGTGTTATCGAGGAATGTGTATAAAGTGCAGCGTTCCTAGGGGGGGGGGCACTTGAAGGATTCTCAGAAGTAGCTCTGCAACATCTCCTTCCGTGGGCCATTCTCGCGGACACGTGGTTAGCGCGCCGCTGTGCGAGAGTTGCGAACGGACTCTTCGTCTCGCAGCTGGAATCAAATTGAACAACAACAACAAAACCGACTTGTGACAAGCGAGATTTAGCAAAGGGATGGCGAGCGATGTTGAGGAGGGCTGGCATCAATAGCCTGGTTGCTTGGCTCGTCTTGCCTCACAGCAATAAGCTCTTGGGTTCGATTCCCTCTCTTTGTGTGGAGTTTGTACGATGTCCTGCCCCTGTTCTGCACGGATTTCCTCCGGGTTCTTCGGTTTCCTCCCGTCGTTAAACTAAATGAAAAAGCCACCATATAATGTACCTGGCATTGGCCAAACCATCCCAGTGCTGAAATTTTACTTGCAAACTACTCAGTTGGGATTACACAGCAGCAGCAGCAGCAACATCACCCACCATTGTACAGACTTGACGTGACCCTCCTGAAAAAGAGCCTATGGACTCATTGAGCCCATTTCTGGGTAAATAAGCGTAATTAAACACAACAATTGACCGCGATCGATGACCTCACTACTGTGACCATTCACAAACAATACCCACCCCCCTCCCCACGCTCTCCCCACACTACCAAATATCTCTGCAGCACGCTGATGATGCTGCAGAGCGTAGAGGCAGCGGGTTTTAATTGCGCTGATTTGAAAGCGCCAGGTTGCGTGTACTTTGGTAAGTGCATGACGAGTAGAGCGCAGCTTCAGGATGTGTTGCATTTGCTGCCAACGGGAGGCACCATGGGAGGGTTCCGAAATATCCCCGCGCTGACGATGCGCGCGGTGGCAGGCGGACGCGGCGGTGATAATTGACGAAAATTATATTTTTGAAGCGCCATAGAATCTGCACCGAGAGCGATAAAACGATACGGTGGGGGGGGGGGGGGTCGAGAGACACGGAGCCCCCCCCCACACCCCCCTCACCCCACCCCCGTGTGTAATTATCCTGTGGGAGGGTTACGCATTCAATTATATCCGTAAGACGTGACGCCGCTTGGCGAGACTGAACGCAAACGGCCATCGCGCCGACGTGAGCGCGAGCATCGGCCGACGGCTATTTGTGTCCGAGCGCGTGTAACGCGACGGGCACATCGAGTCGACGGAGACACCGGCTGGAGGCTAAAGGTCACCCACACGTTCTGCGCCAGGGGTGATATCAGCCAAGCGCCTGTTGGAACCCGGCACGGCACGTAAGGTGGGTGGAGGTGTGTGGCCAGCGCCACGTCTGGATGTCTTGGTCTCAGCTGGGGCTGAACGATTAATCGATTTCAAATCGAAATCGCAATTTGAAACAATGCTGTTTAGCAAATCGCAAAGGCTGTGATTTTTTTGCGGGTTGAAAAGGCCTATTGCGTTCTTATTGGAATTGTTTTAATTTTTATATTATTATAATAACTTTATTTATTGAACTTAATTGTTATATGTTTGATTGTTATATTTCAATTAAACATTTTAATAAATACATGTTGGAAGCAATGTATATGTTTTAAGTTCTCACCCTTGCATTAGAAAATATCTAGAGCAGTTCATATTTTGATGGTATCATGTGGTAATGCTCCATCACATGTTTTAAATATATTATATAGTGAATATTGAACTGAAGCTTGACTTAAAAAATGTAATCGCAAATCAAATCGCAATCTCTGTCAGAAAAATCGCAATTAGATATTTTCCCCAAATCGTTCAGCCCAAGTCTCAGCAGTGCTGATGTTTAGGTACTATTCAATATATGCTGAGTCAACCTAGGGGAAGCCCAGGACCAGTTCAGATGTTGATCTTTTATGTTAGCCGAGAGCACGAATGGAAGGAACTACGGTCACCAGATTCGTAGCGAAGTGTATTAACAGCTGCACTACTGCTCCCCACAAAAAGACAAAACCCCACCATGTAGTCTTTACAGACTGTTGGGGCAAGTGTTGTTAGCAAGCACCTATGAAGGCCGGCACGGCACACGAGGGGGTGGGTAGCCAGCACCACATCCGGCAGCCTTTGTCTCCCAGTGTAAATATTTACACATTGCACCAGGTACTCATTTGAGGCTGAGTCGACCTCGGCGAAACCCAGGACCGATTCAGATATTGGGCACTGGTGTTGGCCGCGAGCAGGAGTCGAACTCGGCTCACTGGTATTCTCATTTTTCGTTTTTGTCGGTAAAGTCACGTAGGTAAAAACATTACAATTAATAAAAGTAAAATACTTTATACAGCTGTCGTGGCTGTGACGGTTCCACCTGAAGACGGAAGCTTGTGTTGCCTCCGAAACGTCGTGATTTTTATTTTATTTTACTTTTATTAATTTTAATGTTTTTACCTACGTGACTTTACCGAAAAAACCTAAGAATATGAATCCTTGCAGTCACGAAAGCTTCAAATCTAGAACTGGTATTCTCGGCATGGCGCGCTAAACGCTACTCGACCACTCCCCACACATACAAATACACACACACACGAACATACAAAGACAAAGATCCCCCGTATAGCCTGAACAGACTGTAGGGGCAAGTGCTGTTAGCGAGCACCTATGAAGGCCGGAACGGTACACGAGGGGGGTGGGTGGCCAGCACCACGCCCGACCGCCTTTGTCTCCCTAGTGGCGATGTTTACACACCGCACCAGGTACTCATTTAAGGCTGAGTCGACCTAGGGGAGGCCCAGGACCGGTTCAGATAATCGTCACTGGTGTTAGCCGTGAGCGGGAATCGAACCCGGGTCGCCAGGTTCATAGCGCAGCGCGCTAACCGCTACACCACCGCTCCCCACTACGAACATACACCCACGCACACACATGCACACCACGCGCCGAGTTCGCTTACATTTTGCGCTGACGTGAGCACCGCGTCCTTTGTTTATATAAATCTATCCCCTCGTTTAGAAGCCCTGGCGACAGACCTACATTTGTGGTCAGGCAATTAAGCGTTTTCAGTTCAATGCAGCCCCCCTGCTGCCGAACGGCGAGGGACGCATTACGGGTCTTGAGTTACACGGGTGTGGACACTGGGAATGTGTCGGTGTCGCATGCTCGGCGTGGATGGAAAGCCTCGTCGTTAGTTGCCTTTGCGATTCCAAATGGAGTAGAATGTTTTCCGAGCCAGGTGAGAGACTTTGACTTTTAAACAACTTTTATTGCCGCCAGCAGCAAAAGCACTGGAGGCGATTTCGATATGAAATACACAAAGTCACCAGCAAACAAATGAAAATAAACGCTACAAATCCACGCGCTGTGGCGCTAAAAAGCACCGTGCACAACACGAAAGAAAAGCCACGTGGTTGTGGTGGTCATCACGCACGCCACGGTGACGAGCGAGCGCTTCAGAAGGTCAACATGAGGGTGCCGTCCACGCTGGTACAGAGGGCAGGCGAGAGAGAGAGAGCGAGCAAGCGTGTTGCGATAATCAAGGAGACCTGTGTGTGTGGAAGGAGCGATGCAGGCGCGCCGTACGTGTGCATGTGGAACTTCTTTCGCACTGCGCGAGCCAAGCGTGCTAATCGGAGGTGCGGGGGAAGGACAACAAACTAAACACACCAAAAACAGTGCTAAAGAAATTAGTTGCCAATCTACATTTGAAAATGCAAAACTCCAGGGGCTTCCTAATTTCCTGATATCGGAAGGGAGAGCGTTCCAGACGGCCGCAGAAGGGCGTCTGAAAGCGCTCGATGGCTCGACAAAAGCCACTGCGCACAGCCGTTCCGACCGTGAACGAATGCTGTCAGTATCTGCGGCGTCATATTGCACAGTGCAGATCATAGTGCGGTCAATGAATGTGATAATAGGTTTTCCCCTTTTTTCTGTCAGCAAAACAGGTGTTAAGATGTTAAAACACCAAACTGACACCTTTTTCAAGGAATCATGTCTGCATTAACCACAATGCTTGTGGTCAGAATGCAAACAAAAACATAATATGTGCATTGTCCTTGAAACTGATTGGTCCACACCTGAGACATCTTTCTTTTGAGCCTCGTCTCCAACGATGTTAGACCAGAGGACGCCTTCAGTTTGGTGT